TATACATATACGCACATACATACATACATACATACATACATACATACATACATACGTACGTACGTACGTACATACATACGTACATACATACATACATACATACATACACATATACATACATGCAGACATACATACAGACAGACATCCATGCATACATATACACATACATGCATACATACAGACATGCATACAGACATACATGCATACATATACACATACATACATGCGTACGTACGTACCTCCTTCCTGCAAACATACATACATACATACATACATACATACATAAGTTTATGCATCGACTATATCTTGATATACATAGAAGCAAACACAGTGTCGATATGTGCAATAGACGAAGCTGGCGTGGCTTCTGACTGAAGGCCAGCAGACAAACCATGCCGCAGGGACTACCAGCTTCATACGCGGCACATGAATCTACACTAGGCATGCTGCTCGCAAAGGCCAGCATTCCTTGCACGGTTCGGTCCGCCGCTTCTGAAACATGTTGCAGAAAAGAATCACAGATGAATTGCATCGCGCGAGACGGCCCACAAACCGCCAAAATCCGCCAAAACAACTCGGTGGGCGAAGCAAAAACACAACTGCTGTCAGAAAAAGAAGAGCCGCAACTCGGAAAGGCAGAGGTTGAGCCAGGATTGGATGTTTCCACACAGGGCCTGTCTTAGCTGTGTTCTGGGACTTCTAAGCCTTTGCAGCTCCTCGAAAATCTACGGAAAACCTCATGTCGCCGTAGGCGTATGGAGAGCGTCAATGGAGCAGGACGAAAATCATGCTCTGAGTTTACGCCAGCGGAAAGAGCCGAGCTATCTAGTTCTCACTGAAGCGTTGCTAGTGTTCCCGTGCCCCCTCTCCGAGGCCCCCCAAACTATGACCGGCGACATGGACTGATCTGCGGTCGAGCCATGCTCCCGTAGGCGAATCGCCGGTGTCAGTCGACATTTCCAGCACTTGGCGGACGCTGTACACCCTGCCCTGGCAGCTCAGTAGATCTTCCATTGCCTGTCAGCAAGCAGGCACACTAAGATTCAGAAACGATTGGCTGTACAGACTGGTCTGTTTCATGGCTTTGGCTTCCTGCCAGCGTATACAGCATGTCGGGAACCAACCCATGGAGGATGCTGCAGCAAACACTGAAAGCTTCCTGCCAAAGGGACGAGGGTATGCTGGCAAGACATGGGTGAGGCAGGAAGAGCGGCAGAAGTGCCTCGCGAACTGGACGAGGGTGCGGTTTGGCGAGTTGCAAAGCTGTGCGGCCGCCTGGGCTGTCTGCTGCAAGGATCTTCAGCAGACGCTACTTACATACAGGGTGTCATCCGGATCCAGCTCTCGTGGCTGATGTTCTGGGGTAGTTGAGCTCGCACCTATCTGACACATGCAGCTTCGGTCAGGCATTCTTCATGCACTGCTCGGATTTCTGGTGTGATAAGGTCGGCTTCCTGCAAGCCAGCAAGGGCTATTGCGGTCAGCCTCGGAAGTCTCGGAGGCCTGAACCCTCATAGAACCTGGCGAGCTTCGCGACGTGCGCTGCGTGGGATCTGCCCCCGAAGCCAACAGCAGCTTGACCATCTCTACCTGTCCACAAGCAGATCTGCAAGGTCATATAACACGTCACGTGGCTTCGTCCGAACCAATGAAGATGTACCCACTCCCCGAAGTACTGCGATGTCGGCAATTCTGGATTCTAGATGTGCGTTGGTTGCATTCGTAGCCCGAGCTCAAGCCTGTGGTCTTACAACTTGTTCGGACATCTGCTTGTCTTCTCCTGAAAGCAGCACCGGACTGCGAAGCTCCGGAGACCTAACGGACCTAACACTGCTCAAGGAGCCTCGCCCTTGAGGACCGCGAGGTGTAAAGGACAGAAGCGTTCCCGGAAGGGCATACAGCCTGCCCGGCCAAAACAAGAAAACAAGCACTCAACGAAGAAAGGGGAAATCTCTTGGAGCCACGGCTTTGGCCTCCGGCTCCGTCCTTCGCTCGGCTGTCTTCCAGGCCACTGTAGTCATTGTTCTGCCTAGGGGCGTTTTTCGAACATACGGGTCTTGAAAAACCAAGAGAGGTGTTCCATACTACCTCCGTTAGCTTCGGGGGCGCACAACAAGTGGACAACACCCTCCACCCCTCTCCCTCACCACTCCTCACCCTCCCCATACCTGCCCTCCACCCCTCCCACCAAGCGGGTGGAGCAGTGGGGAAACAATTTGCACGGGTCTGGCCGCCCTCCACTTACTTCAAACTTCACCGTGCTGGTATCATTTGGGTAGTTCTCTACATGAGGGTCTCTTTTCAGGTCCCAAAATAATACGGCAACCCTGATAAAAAGGGCCTACCCTAATTTAGACAGCTACCCGTCGCCATGATACAAGAATTCCTCGACCTTGGCCACCTGCCGCTCGCGTGAACGCAAACGCCTGAGCTTCCCGTTCCGTGGGCGGCCGATCACCACTGCATCCTCTTTCTCCGCCGCAGGGGAGATGGGTGATTGACTCACATCGAGGTCGCTGTAGCTGGCACAGGTTCCCGTACGGCCTGCTCCTGCGAGCTGCAGCTGTATCTCCCCTGGAAGGATCGCTGCCATCTCTGCAGGCTTCAGTGCCATGGCACCTCGTAGAGGCTGTGCTGGCCGCACTGGCCATGTATGGAAAACAGCTTGAGCAGTGAAGGGCCAACATGCATACTATAAGCGACCCCTGCATGTCTGCCACAGCTCTACCCTTTGAGCATTCTTGTCCAGAAGCTGGTCCTTCGAGACTACGCCCCGCACCCTGAAACACGCACTCTGCTTTCCTTGAGCCCACACCCTGCACAAACGCCTGCTCGGAGTCGATATGCAGGGTGAACCTGACAAGGACACCACAGGACACCCCCTCAAGCGTCTCCCAGTGCACTCTGAGCTCAGTCTGGGCTCCAAGCAGCGCGTGGGTCCGCGATGATTCGCGATTCAGCGCATGTGCATTGACGCGACGATTCTGCAAGCCAGCCTGGAGCTTTGCGATTTGCGCCTAAAGGAGGTGACTCCTAGATCTCTGTGCTTGCCGGACGGAGCCAGGCAACGAATCGGGCTACAGTGTAGGGCTCAACGCTGCGGACTGTCACAGTGCAGCTCTTGCATCCCACAAAGAGAGGTCAGGGATGGGGCCGGGGGGGCGGGAGAAAGGTTCCCTTGCCCCAGTCTGACGAATAAAGGCATGGTGGTCCAAAGCACATGGCACGGCCCAAGAGATGTTGGTGGGCTGCATGTACAGGTGGGAAGGAACTTGAAGGAACCCTCCAGCAGCGACGGTGCCTCCAACACGGCTCGAACGTCTGCCAGAGTGCGGCACTCAGCCACCTCAACCAAGACAGGCAGAGAGAGGGAGAGAGCAACAGCAATCAGTAAGAGAAAGGAGATTCGGGATGAGTCATGAGCCGCAAATGAAGTTTGGGGAAAACTCAAAACTATCGGAGCAAGGACTGACATGCTCTTCGCTGCGTCAGTGCATGCAACAAGCTTCGCGTGAAGCTCCGGCTGCGCTTGGTCGCACCGAAAAGAATCCGAGGCAAAAGCGGCCAAATCGCTGATGAAGAAGCCATGTTTCTGGCTGAAGCGCACCTGCGTCACCACAGGAGATGGGTGGAGCAGATCTTCCCTGAAACAAGATGACCAGCTGGCCTGCAGATGCCCGGCATCTGGATTCAGCAAGTCACAGATGCACCTTGAAAGCTTTAGAGGGTCTACGAGTCTACGACATGCGAGCCTCCACTCAAGGGAACTCTAGGTGCCGGGCTCGTTGACAGCGCCAGGTGCATTGAAAATCTCTGCAAAGGAGGCTCCAACCTGGCAAAGGCGGCCTCTCGCCGAGGCCCACAAGCTTCAAGCACTGACCCGAGGCAAGCACCGTGATTCTGGAACCTCCGGTGCTTTCACCTCTCGGAGACTGGAGTGACTTGAGAAATCTTGCGAATCAGGAATCTGACAATCTGACAATCTGCACTCCGACCCGGTGTTGCAAAACTGCCCACATTCCTAAATGCGCACTGCCTATCTGCCGGAAGAGTCGACGAGCTGCTCGTATCACCAGGCCATCGTTCCGCTTGACCTCTCGGCACAGCACAGTCCCGCGAGGACATCGCGACAAGTGCCTGCCCGTTGCTACAGTACCCACTCTTGCCTCGTCCCCACAGTCGGATGTACGGTCACCGGTGCTCGACCGCCCCATCTGACGCAAACGCACGAGACGCGTCAGTGTGCAACAGTCTGGAGCTCTTGAACCCGAGCGCTTTGGGCTTCAGACTTGAAGACTTGAAGCCGTGGATTGTGGAAAACACTTGCTACTATGCTGTTCGTGACATGCTCACACGCTCAAGATGGGGAGATGTGGAAAGATGCACGCATAGCTGGCAGGCGGGGCCATAGTGTACGTCTTGCCACTGCCGGTTTGGCCATACGCCAGGACGGTGGCCTGACCCATTGCTGCAACAATGCGCGTTTCTCGCCCGGAGCTGCGAGGCTCATGACATGGCTGCACATCATTTTGATTCCTCAACCTCTACCAGCTCCGAAGCAGGACCGGTCAAGAACTGTAAGGCAGCGGCAGCATATCCAGCAACTGCTGCGTCGAGCAGGCAGGTCACACCGCTCTCTTGGAAAACCTGGCAGGGCAGTGTGGCAGCAGGGAGGAATCAGAAGCGAAAACTTGGCTTTCTACCTTAACTCCGACTCCATCGGCCTTGAGGGAACCAGATGCGATTTCGCTGGCAGAGGTCGGCCTCCCTTCATAACCCAACGACTCTCCAATAAATGCCTCTTCTGAAGCGGGGCCTTGCCTGTTTCTGCGATCGATCTTCGGGAAGACATGCGTCGAAGGAATACTTTCGAAACTGGTTCGCCGCACCCACCCTGAGCAGGTATTTGAGTTCACCACTTAACCATGTCGCTCTCAGAAAGATGTACAGTATGTACGTAGAAGCTTCCAACTTGCAAAGCTGCGGGCAAGTCTGTAAAGTCCTGTTCTTTGATTCTTCGATTGACTGAGAGTGCTTCGCTGGCCCCTCGCTCCCGCCTTACCAGGATCGACCGGTCACCGGAGGCCTACAAAACTGTGACGTGCGTTAAGACAGAAGGGTAGGGGATGGGACTTGATGGGACGCTGGAGGCCCCGCCTGCAGCCTTGAACATGCAGGTTCGGGCGTGTCCGCAGGAGCTCTTGCTTGGAAAAGGCTTGCTCAGCCGTGCGACCGCTCAGCTCTTCAACCTAGACAAGACGGAAATCACAAGCAAGCGCCTGGCAGCAATTCTCGTGCCCGGCTTCAAGCTCTTGCCTGGCTGCAGAATCTGAAAATGGGAGACCAAGGAAGACCAGACCTCACTGCATCTCGCTGCACTTTCGCATCGACTTGACTCAACCTCGCCGGCATGTCTGTAGAAGCGGGCGGACGCGCACCACAGCTCTGACTGAAGAGGACCTGCTGCTTTTCGACGCCAACAAACACGGAGCCCAAACCCCTCAGATGCCCTCAGGCAACGTGAACACGCTAACGGCACGAAAGCGCCATGAACTGTTCTTGCCAGGCACACACTTAGTTCGACCCGCCGCAACGAGATGTGCAACTCCCCATGATTCAATTCACTCACAACAAGGCCCAAACTCTGAGACAAATAATCGTGGATGAATACGATCCCTCACCACGACTGCGTCATCTGCGCTTGATGCCTTCATCTTCATCTGCCACCCCAACACACCACCTCTGTAAGAACATATTATGAGAACCATATATCTTACAAATCAGACACCCTCCTCACCAATCATCCTAGTTTGGCATCATGTTTGGAGGCACCCATCATCCCCATGTGCATCGGGCGGTTGTCAAATGTACTGGATTGAGTTGAGCATGATCGCGTCCCTATGAACCCATGCTTATAGTAGTATAGATCCAGACGAAATTCTCGTGCAGGCCCGCAGCAAAGTCAGCCAGGTCTACAGAATTGATTTACGACTCTGCCAACACAAATTGCCTGTGAAAGGCCGACCAGATTCAAAATCGTCACGTCCGAATCTAAGATGCTGTCGGAGCTGCGCATCCCGCGGCATGCATGCCCAGCCAGCAGTGAGGGCAGGATCCCATGGAGAATCAGGCTACCCTCAAAGACATCAGATTCGGATTCCTGGCTGTGCCTTGTAGTCAGGTTGCGTGAAGCAGGGATTTCAGGCAAAAAGCAAACTTTGTGGGTAGGGTGTTAAAGGTAAAGGTTTAGTATGGCACAGGCTGAAGCTGCAGCTCTTTGCACTCGGCGAAATCAGGCCGAAAGTCCGTGGCGCCCGTTTGCCTCGTTTGCATGTGCTTGGGGAACGCCTGGGCCTGTGCACTTGCTCCCGTTGTTCTCATGCGAACACAGCTGCAGTTTTGGAGCCGAAGATGGCGTGGCAGGTTGCTGTCCAGTTTCCGGACTGGCTGCCCTATCTCGGGAGAGCTTCAAAGTGTGGATAACAGAAGCAACCGGAGGCTGTGATTCGCCGGCTCATTCAGGCGTTCAACAGACGCGGAACCGATGGCGCTTTTCGAGGATCCAGGAGAAGCCGGGCCGAGCGATGCCCGAGACTGGGAATGTCAGATGCTGAGCTTGGCTTGCTGGCTACCTCGATGGCTTGAAAGTTCTAGAGTTCTACAATATTCTAGAATGACAATGACTTGAAAGGAGCATGGTCTCGATTCCACAGATTAGTCTGGAAGGGTTGCGAAGTCAGCGTGCACTTTGCGCTTTCCTCAGCTGCCCGTCAACAAACTCCTCGTAGAATGAACACTGCTCCTGTCCAGGGCCACGCAGAAGGCTAGAACTCGAAGACGTGAGTTGAACCACATGCTGCCATGGCATCTGCTCTCACAGCGAAACATCTGCTGTGCATAGGTGTAGGCAGCTCAGCAACTCTTGACCGATGCCTTCGCGGCTACCTTGTTCTCCTCCTTAGCGCAACTTCCGGTGAGTCAGAAAGCTACTCCTGAACCAGCAAACTTCATTGTTGACTAAACTGAGCTGGTACTGACTTCTCTCTACCTCTGGTATCTCTTCTGTTCAATCTTGTATGTGCTGCAGGTGGTTCAACATGTTGCGAAATTGCAGGTTTGGATTCAGCAATTTCCTCAAGAACCCGCAACCAAACAGGACATGGGTCCACTACCGCATGTTGCTCCAAACCGTGCCAGAACAATAAGCTCGGCGACTACAACGTCAAGGGCTGGTCATCCGAGGCCCTCGGCACGGTACATGTCGAGGTACTTGTGTGCCTGCTCCGGAGTGTACCTCTCGAGACTTGCAAATGCACGGGCTCATCTTGAAAGAGCTTGCTGAGCGGCGATCGGTATCTTTACAGTAGATCCTCCACCTTAACTACAGCGCATGCGCAGTAAGAAGCCACAAGTATACCTGCACGCACCAAACTGTCCCTCATCCACGCCCGGACATCGTTAACCCAAACTGGCGCAACCTGGACAGCACGGGAAACGGCTTGCGCGGGAGCACGGGAACCCTGGGCCTGTTAGGCCTTCGAAGGAAAACTTCTCGCAGTAGTGGTCCCAGTCCTGGCTCTCACCCCAGCAGGGTTTAGGGTTTTAGGGTTTAGGGTTTAGGGTTTAAGGTTCAGGGTTTAAGGTTCAGGCTTTAGGGTTTAAGGTTTAGGGTTTAGGGTTTATGGCTCAAGCCATCCCTTCACTGACCTTCCCACTCACCTCACCAAGACGCTCAGTACCTCTTCGACACTTCCGCTGGCGGAGTTGACAAACTAGCTCTTCAGAGGTACAGCAACATCTCTGTGCCTGTGAGCATTCATTGCCTTCGTGCCGAATCGTTCCGTGATCCACAGAGTTCGAAACAAGAAAGCTAAGAATTGAAGCCATGGTCTAAGCCGAAAGCAGGAAAGCTTCCGGCGCTGCCAGCCCCCCATTAACCGATTTTCACACCAGATCTTTCATGTCCCCTCTAAAGTCTGCACGATCAACGATCAGGCTTCCCGGTGCTTCCGGTTTCGATTGCAGTACCGAAGAGACGGCAAGCATGGTGACGGCCTCCTTGCAGTATTGGATGAACCTCACGTCCACCACACACTGCTTGGCTTCCCCTTTCGCTTCTATCGCTGAGTGACGAGGTTGACTCTGGTACCGGCTTATAAGCGGCTTATAGGTAGTTTCGCACAACCTGTCAATAGAAGCAACAAGTCTCGAAATGCTAAACCCTAAAGCCTTCCACACAGGTTGATGCAAACCGGGGAGACTGCTTGTCGACAGGATGTAGCGTCCACATGCGCTCAACCTTGATCTGCGAGTGGACGGCACCTGAAAGGGCGACTTCGGTTGCTCATCACTCTGCAGATAGGCGAACATCGGCACCTACATATGCCCTTCTCTGCTGCAGGCACGCGTCACAGAAACTTGCCTGTGAGCTTAAGAAGCACCACTGAAATCTGTGAATCTGGTGCGTGAGCGGTTCTCTGTGCTCTCGAGATCCAGACCTCTCTCCATCAAGAAAGGGATGATGGATCCAATGAACACTCCGGTCTGCGTTCCATGCCTCCAGCTTACAACGGATCTGTAGAGAGCTCCAGCTTCGACTGCACTTTCGCTCAATGCGCAAGTGCTTTCGCACCCTTCGCCTCGCCTAGAGAAAACAGAACGACTGTCAAAACGTGCCGTGATGGTCCTTTTTCAGCTACAGTCAATTCTACCCGGGCCTTGCGTCGACCACCTGGCTGCCATCTAGTGTTGTGGACATGGGTATGGAACCTCTGAATGCTGGAGAAGGCATGCAGTTAACACAACGCCAAAGCCGTGAAGGTACTGACTACATCGTCAAAGACGATGCATCTGGACAAACAGGACCCGGTGGCGCACGTAAGCTGGTCTGTAGGTTCCCTCGTCAGTCTCGTCAGCTTTGTGACGAGGCCTGCAGCATGGAGCTTTCACAAGTTTGCACGACTCTAGACAGCTCTTCCTGGCTCTTGCCGCTGAGCCCATGGCAGCATCCCGGTCGGAAGGACCTTGTCGGTGAAGTCCTGGTGCTTTGCAGACGCCAAAACTCAGTTCTGTAGCCCTCGGCTTGCTCAGGTGAAGCCTCTCTTGACTGTCCTTGGGGAAGTGCATGAAGTGCATGCCCATCTCGGCCCTGGGCATCAGTCGAAAGCTCGAGTCTACGAAGCCGCCCTTTCGCTGGCGATCTCCAGCCAAGAGCGATCATGGAGCTTTGGCAAAGAAAGTCATCCGATCGCCGCGAAACTGAACTCCTGCTATCTCCTGCCAGTCTTGTCTAACATCATACACTAATTACTAGTCGGCAATGACTAAGTTCCGGACCTGCAGGTGATACTTACTTTGGGGTGGCCACTGACGCCGCCCAAGTACAAGTACTGCAACCCGGCTCCCATCCTACCGAATAGGTTCGGCCCCGATCGAATTTCCATACTTCCCCGAACAGTGTGGACATACGATGGGGTTCTGAAACTTCAGGGTGACGGGATGAGATCGACTCAAATCCTGCTGCGGCCTAGCAGCCAGGAAATCGCGCCCGGGGAGAAGCTGGTGCCTTCGCAGACGCTAAGTCCCTCGATGCAATCACAACCGCTTCGTTTTGGGGGCAATCGCCCTACCTTCAAAGTCTTCATAGCTTCGGGTACTCATGCCTGTCACATAGTTTAGAACCAGATCTTGGCCTCCGAAGTTCGTCGCCATGACCTGAGTTCTCCAAGGCAAGCGACTGGCTGGACTGAGCCGGATATCGTGACATTCTGAATACACTAGATCCATTCTGTAGTGGCGTGCAGCTTGTCGATTCGGTAATTCTCGCCGAGAGCCGCGAACTCCATGTAAAGAATGCATGTGCTCTTAGCCCAAGTTCCCCGCACTGACAGGCTCGGCCACGAGATATCTCCGCGGATCCTCGTTGACCTCCAGCTACATACCGCGATATATCAATGCGACATGCAGCCAAGTTCTGAGGATACATGTATGCAACAGTACGTACTTGTCAGGTCACACTCGTCAGAAGAAGCAGCAGCAGCAGCAGTTCAGTAGCAGTGATGGTAGTGGTGCACCAGTGCCAAGGCAGCAGAGAACTGTAGTAGTAGCAGCTACAGTTTTCTGCAGCTGCAGCGAAAACGTCCATCCCGGCATGCTGCTTTCCTGTTCTGGTTGCATGGGCTGCTGCAGAGCAGACTATCGATTTGTTGAACGCTTCTGATCGTGTTGGCTGCCTCAGTGTTTCGGGCAGGGCCTCAAAATCCTGCAAACAAAATTCTCCTGGCGGTGTCGTTCAGACACCATCACGTAGTGGTTCGACACCACACGATCATTCGCGCGTGGCGCGCCGACCAGCAAGCCTGCTTTACATCATTCCCCTCGCTGCGCATGGGCCGAGCACGCGACCCAGAAACCGACCATCTCCTTGATCTTCATGACCCTGGGAAAGAGGATGCAAGGCTCCATGAACTGATGGAGCGGTGCTAATAAACTCCTGTGAAGGATGTGAGCACGCAGTGTGCATGTCCAAGGGCGACCGCTGGGTCCACCGGCCGATCATTCGACGGATCGCCCACGAAACCGAGCAGCTTAAGGATGCACTGCACATCTATCCTGGCAAGAGAGATGCAGCTTGCAGCTAACTCCGTCGCAAAGGGCGCGTAAGCTGGCCAGCATCACTTGCGACCGGACCCGCCTCAGCGCAAGACGGCGGATGGGAGCAGCTGCGCTTGCAAATAAGCATGAAAGATGCCGAGTGTAGGAGCTAATGCGGGATTCCCGGGTTCGTAACAAGGTGCGCACGATACATGAAAGTGAGTTTACAAGTCATGTGGCTCTCATTGCTCCTGCGACTCTTGCGACAAGTTTCTTGTTCGCACAGCACATCGCTGTCCAGCGGCATGCTCTGGCAATCCCGGTTCCCCGACATTCACCAAGACCCGGACAATGCAGTGCGTGGTGGCTTAGCCGTTTGATTCCCATGGGGTCCTCGATCCATGGCAAAGTCAGCAACTTTCGACCGAACCGTCGTGGGCATAGGCGCAGACTTGAGCGTGCTGATCAGGCTCAGAGCTTCAGAGCTGCGAGC